TATCTGTAGTATTTTATTGAGTGCTTACGTAGACTTCTTCTAAACGATGTCGGAATATAATCACTTTGGGGGAATCTGAAGTTAAGAATCTTCTCGGGTGCAATGACGTCGTGAATTGAGTTAATATTCTGATAGAAGTTGTTAAGAATTGCATCTAAGGACTGGTTCGAAAAGTACGAGTCCCAATTAGAACATCTAATTAGGTGCTGATACAAGTCCCAGTCAGCATGTGTGTACAATCTCATAGGTATCTGGCCAGCTTCATCTCTGCGTTTTGTTTCAGGAAAGATGTCAAAAGAACAAACTACTATTCTATGGTCACTACCTGGAAATTCATGTCCAACATGTACGGTAGATGGCGTTATGTTGTTCGTGAAAATAAGGTCTAGGATATTTGCGGATCTAGTGGGTGAATTTATGTGTTGTGTCCACCCTCCTGTGACGATGGAATTTATGAGATTATCGTACCTTTGGGGTCCTCGGAGTGAAGACCATGATACTTCTGGCAAGTTGAAATCGCCTCCGATAATTTTATAACTGAAAGGAAGATTGGCTGTAACATTAAAGATATTGCTAAGCATATTATCATATTCCCTGCTGGATGAAGGGGGCCGGTACACACAACCCACAAGTATAGGTTTACTTCTGACAACTTTTATTTCGACCCAGATCGAGTCATTGAGTTGTGACAGAATTGGGTTACTAAACTGGGTTGCACACATGGATTGTTCACAGTAAATTAGTGTTCCACCCCCACGACCTGTCCGTCTGTCCCCGCGAAAAAGGTTGTATTTATCAATCCTTAGGCTGTCATTGGAGATTTCACTTGTGCACCAGGCTTCGGTGATCATAATCAATGACGGTCTGCATATAGAAGCTATTGTACTTAGTGCTAAATGTTTGCTTAGAACTGATCTCGTATTTACTAGGATAATAGATAAACACTGGCTATGTGGTTTCAGTGAGCGGACAACATCTTGGTAAAATAATCCGTGAGTATCCTCTATATACATGTTATCAGACTCATTTACCAATATCTTTGGATCGTAGGAAGACTTCAGGTAGATTTTTGAGGTGGTAGTCAGGGATGGGCTTACGTTTGGATATGGTATGCAGTGAGAGACACCTGTGTGATAATCAGATATTAATATTTTAGAGATATTAGTATCCGCGTTTGGTGTCGACACTGTGTCAGCTATCTCCCGGGAAATATGCCTTGCCCTAGCTGTAGACTGTTCGCTATGCCAGCAAGGAATTGATCCGATATCATGCGTGCTATATGCATGATTCCAGGTGTTTCTGTTAACTGACGCTGGTGAAAATCCTGCCCTAAGGTATAACCGATATGTGTATTCGGTAATTTGTTGCCAGTATAAGAATGAAGTGTTGGTATCTGTTTCTGGTATTCATCAGACCATGGCAAGTTTTGTGCAGAAATCGGCACATGCTCCCCACTAGACACATAAGATATATGAATGGGTTCTGTTGGCTTGCTAAATGTGGTCTGTGGCCGATGTTTGGGGTATTTTCTATAACTTTCAGTAGACAGAATATTAGAAGTGGGCTGGTTGACAAGGGGTTTACGTAGTGGATGTGCAGAACAATACCTACTACTTTGCTGTGCTGTTTGTCTAGAATTAGGGATTCGATAAAATTGGCTTTCCACTTGGCACCAATTAGGCCTACCCCTAGGAGCTTCGTCTACCATATTTGACTTTCTCTTACAAAGAAGGCCTACAGGTGCTTTCGTCTCTTTCTTATCAAAGAGCTTTCTTGCTCCGGGTTTAGTATTTAATTTATTTACTTCTTTTTCCCCTATCTTATGATTATCTGGCTGATGATGGCTAACAGGGCAGTCAGCACATGCTATGTAGGGTTTCTGTGGCTTGAACACCTCATGAGCTTTAGTTTTCTTAATGGAAATGGGACGTTTGTCATAACGCCTAGAAAACTTGCCAACTTGGGTGGCTACATTCGACTGGTGCTTTACAGAGTGTGGATTGTCAGACAGAGGAGTAACTGACTTATAAGGCAATGGTTGGACCACCAGTGGGATGGGTTTTGATGGTTTCGGTGTCTTGACTTTTGCGTCAGTGTGAAAACGATGTATTTCAACATTATTTCCCGTTGACTCATCTATGTCCACCATTTCAGTGTCTGCATCAATATCGTTATATAATGCTTGGCTAACATTAGCCACTACCTGCGAAAATGTCTGTTGCATGCCGTGATCAGATATTTCAATAGACGGAATAACGCACGGAACATCATCTACAGTTATCCTATTAGAGTTATCAGGGTTCACTGTTCCTGAGCGGCATCGCCTTTGGCATGGTGTTAAATCAGGTGCAACCCTAATGTTAGTGTATGGTGTTGAAGAGCCTATTTTCTTACCCGATTTCAGAAAATTCCTGGCTTCTTCGGTAGACCTAAACTTGAAAAGCACAGGACACGGGTGGTTTGCAGATTTCTTACGAAGACGCAAGACCTGACATTCTGTCAACGACATATTACAAGCCTTTAGACACGAATTCTTAAGTTTGGCAATCGGCTCTCTGTCTGGAATGTTATAGGCCAAGACGTTATGTGAAGACATAATCCTCTTAACAGCTTCTTCAGCCAAATAGTCAATTATGCGCTCGGATTTGATTAGTGATTCAAAACAGATGTTTTGTGGTGGGTCACACAGTTGCGTGAGAGGCATAATGCTGTCAAACTTGCTCTGTAGTTCTGCTATTGACTTCTGAAGTGTCAGTAAATCATTTTTGCTACAAGCCGCATTCTCTGCTAATTCCTCCATGATATCAGATACCATAACTCTGGGTATGGCTGGTGTAAACAGTGTAGAATTGTCAACGGAGCTGAGGCCTTCAGATGGCTGACTAGTATTAGATCTCAGTCTCTTAACGGTACTTACACGTTTGATAGACTTAACCATTACAGAAATAAGAAACTTCACAATTTCCGGAAAAAAAGTCTTGAGGATATGAAAATAAGATAGCTGTATTATCGAAGTATCAAAACAACAACGATAAACAGATTTATATTGCAAAAATAAAAAGTCAGACTTTCCTTTACAGAGTTTGCTGTGGATAAAGTCCTGAGTTCCACGTAGTTAGATATGGTATCCGAGGATTCTTGACGTAGATTTCACGAGTGAATGCTATATGTTGTTCCAGTTGATACAATACAATCCTTGTTGACTATGGATAACTGGATAATGTGATGAAAGCGGCTAATTTCCAAAATATTAAGGAAAGATGATTCACGCAGAAGGTGAACACCCGTAGCGCAAGCGTTCAAATCCAAGGCAAGCCAATACTGTTTTCAATAAATTCTTCTTCAGGCTCTACAATTATAAATCCATTAATGTAAGCATACAATAGCCAGTAAAGGCGAATTATAATCATATCAGAAAGTGTATTGTGGAACAAGTATAGGATGGGATGAAACAATAGTCATATAGTTTTTTTAATATGCATGGTCAATAACAACATGGGACAAAATGAGATGAAATAATTTAATTTAATGATGTGTGTATATAGATAAATATAGTTAACAGAAAATACAGGTTTCAAGAGTGAGTGTAATCAGGGTGTGTGAGGCAATATGAAAATAAACCAACAAATGGGGCGGTCTAGACTTAAGTTCAAGGTTGAAAATAAGAACAATAGGAATGATTGTAAAATGATAACGATGATATGGTGTAAAATTAAAATTAAATGCACTATTGGTGAATGATTGTCAAATAATAATAATAATGAGTATAATGAAGTGGAATGAACAGGATTTTGTAAATACGATAGCAAGTTGGAAAAGCACTATTTAAACCTAAGGTAATAAAATCATAACAAAGGTCATGAAATCATAAAAGTCGAAAATGAACGTTTGTCAATGAAACAGAGGAAGAGAAGAAGGAAAAGAAAAGAAAATTGTGAAAGGAATTTATAGTGTTAATGGAGGATTTGTTGGCTTTATTGTAGGCCAAGGTAAACATAGAGGTTGAACATACTTCTGTATGCAGAGGGATGGTCTTCTGGTATTAATTGAAACTGCTTCAGCTACTGACAGAAGACGTAGTCGAGCTCCTCTGGATAAAATACTAGGAACGCGGTAAATAACTGAGAACGCTTGGTCAAGTTTTATCGGGTGTTCAGTATCTACCAAGTGGGCTAAGACTGCACTATTTATGCCTTTGGTTACTCCTTTGCTCAACCATATATATATATTATTCTTCAAACTTAATCAACTGACTGTGTTACGCTTTCCTATTTCCGTTTCTGTCTCTTAGTCTGAATAACTTCACTAATTATATCTATTATTAGCATTATTATTATTATTACTATCTCTTTTCTCTTATCGACGATACCGAAGGACTAACTGGCGAAAGGACCAACTCCAATCACAGTAGTAACAGTCTTAACACACCTCATACTACAAACCACATATAATTAATCCCAGCACTACTCCCTTTGGAGTCAACCAAAGGTACGACAGTGGAGTTGCGGGACAAGCTACGCAGAAGTTTACCGAAGATCGGGAACCTATACCTTACAATCAAGAAGCGAGCACAAAGAAATCAAATTGGTTTATACTAGCTCGTAAAAACGATATTGGATATTGGAACCCTAGCTAACTGGTCTGTTGATTCGCAGCAGACTGTAACCAGCAAGCTGTAACCAAAAAAGAAGTTTGGATGTGATTCAGGAATACACTAGATTGTGTCACAGCACCCTTTGTACCTTGATCTACGCCTCTTAAGTATATGTTTGAGAAACTCGGGCAGAGTATGAGAGACAGTTATTACGGGCTATACTATAGTCGTACATCGACGGGCTACATATATCAATATCTTTACTGTGCATCTAAGATGCGTCCTAGACTAGCGAAGAAGTGTCTAACAGCCACCACCTTACTGTGAATGTATGAATACCTTATTTTTTATGCAATAAGCATTTGTAAATATCACTTCGCGTATGGTTTTGTAATTGACGTCCTAAGGTCACTGCGGTTCTTTCAAACTAGGTGCGACCTTGAGCGTTTTTATGCCGATGTTTGATACTTTCTCGGTTGCAGTTGTAAAGTTAAATACATGGCTTGTTCTTAAAACTGATGTAAAGTGAATTAATCCGGCTTTTTATTTATAAATACATAGGTAGTCTCGGGACTAAGGATTGTGCCTTCTTGAATCATGAAATAATCGGTTAATAGTGTATGAGTTAAAGTTTAGCATGTACCTTAATCATAGTCTCATCTGGTAATTTTAAAGCCCTTTGGAATTCTTATTATCCTGAAAGAATTGACTGCAGCTCTGTGACATTTCACAGCCTTCGTAGATATTAGCCAAACGATTAGGTAAATAGTCATTGTATATTAGGAATAGCGAGGTTTTTAGGGTAACAGGTTGTGGTAACACACTCGTCAGAATTCTGACTAGAGTACAGGACGATTGCTCTCACCCTTTGCTTTCTACACAGCAGGTAGTCATTTAGGATGTTATTCAAACTGAACTCTTTTAGTTTACTGGAGACGCGTGGACGAGAGACCTTATTAAATGTTATTTAGACCACATTTTCAACGCTGCAGGACTTATTTTCACCTGCTCTTAATACATGTACACAATGAAATATGTTGACCAGTTCGCTTATTTTTGACAAAGGCATCAGTGCTACCGAACTGGCTACTGAGGAAGTGTCGTAAAAGACACTGCACCTGCGTCTGATACTCGACAGCATGTGCAATATCTATATCAGCAATAACTTGATCAATACTTTTGTTTAGCCTAACTTATGTGAAACAAAAATGTATATGTATGTTGTCATGCCGGTGGAGTTGTGTATCTTAACTGATTGAGGTGACTACAATGTGCTGAGAAAGCCGAATTACCTTCTTTGTTAACAATAAGTGCACCATGTTAGACATTTCGGACAGCTTTACTATACTTCAATAGACTACTGTATATCCTGTCACATTCGCCATGTAGTCATTGTCTATTTTTTCTCGCTTCTGTTCTGTATCGTTTAGACTAGTCAATAACTGAAGCAAAATACTTATCGTCTAACCGTCTTAGAATTCCCTGGAATTTAGTTTTGGTGACCACATTCCTCTAAATTAAGAAGGAACTTGATAATAATGATTCATTACATACGTTTTCATATAGGGTGTATAACTTAAGTCGAGAACTAATAATTAGTGTAGTACCCAATAAGGAAATAAGAGTAAAGGGTTGAGGGAGTTCCGAGATTCGGAAATTTTCGGTAACGGTTTTGCAGTCAATAGAAATGGTTTCAGCCATTAATCTAGACCCTTATACTCTACAGTTTTAACTGATAGTGTAATATTTCTGTCAATGACAAAATTTAGATTGAAACTAGTCAAAAATTTTAAACATCAGCCTCCTCATTATTGGGTGCACAGTGGTGTATTTACCTATAAATTTTGTTTCCAAGCATTGCTCATTAGTTTTGTCCTCTAATTTTAGATGAATTAACTCCTAAAGACACCCGAATTACCTGTCAACTGCAGTATTTTATGTTTCCAGTTCAGTGAATTGCCAATGCGATTTTGTAAATCTCAGCCTTTAACTTTATACATTTATACTTTTTTCCTTAAAGTCAATTTATTCACTAAATTGCCTTTTGGATTAATAAAAAGACAGTTATCAAATAAAACCCATATTTGTATCATTGGTAGTGGACCGTCCGCATTCTACACAGCTCAGACGTTACTAAAAGTAATTATTCCAATAATTCCACTGATTAATTAGCAAATTTAGAATCATGCTGGTGTTCACATTGATATGTTTGAGAAACTCCCAGCTCCTTTTGGCTTAGTTCGTTATGGAGTGGCTCCAGATCATCCTGAAGTCAAGGTACTATCACAGTATTTTTCTTCAACATTTAAACTAATCAAAGAATGTCATAAATACCTTTACAGAAGTTGCTAAGAATCCACGATTTTCTTTTTTGGGAAATGTCCATATCGGAAGAGATGTGAACCTAAAAGACTTACAGATGTCTTATGCAGCCATTATCTGGGTTTGAATTTGTTTAGTGTTGATATATTATAAGGCTTATGGCGCTGCTGTCGACCGGCGTCTGAATATTCCCGGAGAGGTATGTTTTATTGAAATACTTAACATTCAAAGGATATTCCTGGTGTATTATCCGCTAAGGATCTAGTGGGATGGTATAATGGTGCACCTAACAATGTCAATGTAAGTAACATTTGCAAACCTTTGTGATTAGCAAGTTTTCCCCGGATCTTGACTGTGAAACAGTAGCCATTGTGGGGATGGGGAATGTTGCCATCGATGTTGCACGTATCCTTCTCTCTCCGGTTGACCGATTAAAAGTAATTCATTTCACTAGAATTTTGATACAAATTTCAGTCTACAGAAATACCGGAACCTGTTATTAGTTGTTTATCAAACAGTAGAGTACGGAAAGTAGTTTTGATTGGTCGACGAGGCCCGCTGCAAGCAGCTTTTACACTTAAAGAAATTCGTGAACTTTCAAAACTTTATGCGTCCACGTGTCAGCCGAAATATGTCATTAACTTTTTTCCAGAAGATGTATTTGCTATGACTATGGGAACAGAAGATGAAATTCAAAAATTGCTGTCAGGTAATATAATTGTAAACGTGTGTTTTGTAAATACAGTTCACTTATATATACATATATATATATATATATATATATATATATATATATATATATATATATATATATATATATATATATATATATATATATATATATATATATATATGAGCTCTTGTGTCTGAAGTTGTCACTGATTATCCCGATATACAACAAGAAAGACAGGTCTTCTTGTGATAATCACACGGGGATTAGCTTGACCAATGTGGTATATATAGTTCTAGGCTCAATAATCACGTGTAGACTCAGTGGTACTCGAAGGTAACAAACACGAAAGAACCAGGTAGGCTTTAGACCAGAAAGAGGGTGTATCGATCACATCTTCACTCTTCGACAGTTTCTGGAACGGAACATAAGCATACTTAGCGGCGTCCAACAACCGTCATTGTCATTCGATTCCGTCGACGTAGCGTTACTATAGCGGTATTTGGCTGTGAAGTGAGTGCCGAGAAAATATATTTCACTGATCAAGTCACTGTACTCGAACTCCTGCAGTCAGCTGCGTGAGAGCCTACGTAGATTTGTCACCTGAATTAATGATGACAACTAGTGGTGTCTGCCCGGCAGATGCCCACTGTCTCCATTTCCGTTTAATTTCGTCATAGATGTACTAATGGATGTAACGCTAACTGACTTGAGCGAATCAGAAATGGAGTGACTTGTTACCAGGTTGCGAATAGTCTCGTTGACTTGGGATATGCAGATGATGTAGTCCTTCTATATGAAAACGCTGACAAAGTGCAGTCTTCTGAACACATTGAGGGGCAGCAATCTTCGAGTGTTTGGCATGTGATTCGCTTCCGTCGAATGTGAGACGACAATACTACAGGACTGGCCTACATTGACTCCTAGCTTGAGGATAGGCAGGAGTGAAGTGGTAGAGCGTGGCGACCACTTCACTTATTTGGGAAGTTGCATCAGCTAGTCCCCGCAGCTTGATCGCCGATGAAATCTCACCACGGATAGAGAAGGCTCGTTTGGTATATGCCAGCCAACTTCCTCCATCTCTGGCTTAGTAGGCGTGATGTCCGGCTATCGACCAAAGCACGTGTGTATTTCTCAGCAGTTCGTTCCGTCTTCCTTTATGCTTTACTGTGAGTGGACGTGGCCATTACGAGTGGAAGACATCTAAAGGCTGGCTAGTTGTCTTTTTATCGTGGGTGTCTGCGTTCTATGTCCCGTGTTAAGTGGCATAATAACGTGAGCAATACTGAGGTTAGGTGTCAAGTGGTAGGCAAGGAGAGGAAATCAATCGACGAGGTTGTTAAGTTACACCGACTAAGATGGTTAGGGCATGTGTTACACATGCCTGTCTAGCCATCGCATTCATCGACGGGCGATGTTAGCTGATATAGAAAAGAATGAGCTGATGGTGGTCAAACCAAAGCATGGCTTCATTAGTCGATGAAATCCCCAGCAGTCAGTTTAAGCGGGTCACGTAGGGAGTTCTAGACTTCCTGGTAGGGATCATGGGTATGTTAAGAACCAATGAAGACTGGAGACAATCGGTGATCTGACTCAAAATTGTCGTTGTCAATAACGGTGCAGATGCATCCACTCGTTGTGATTTGTAATATCCAGTAAAATGGTTTTGTTCTTCCTTATTTGTATTCTTTTTGCCTCATATTTCTGTTTATCTCTTTTGAATCTCTGCTTACTCTCCTCTCTTGTTGTGTATGCTACTTGGGGTGTGGCAACTCGAACTGCTGCGCATTTGTGCAAAGTTCTACGTTAAAAGCAGTCAGAAATTGTTATTATTATTTTTGTTTAATTATCGGGTGAAATTCTGTTATGAAAAGATATTTTTACAGTTGCAGCGAAGATTTTCTTTTCGACGAAGTCATCAACTAGGCTGTACATTCGTGTATTTATAAGTAATGGGTGGGAAAGCTGCAGAATAATTTCCGACCAAGGGTCAAATTAATAGAATTGCAATTCGGAATTAGAATGCCATAATAAACAGTTGGGGAGAGGAGGGCGCATATAACTCAAACAAAGTAGCATCCTGATTACTGAGAAGATTGACATATTGTGCACTTAGGGGTTAGAAATGTAGAGATAACAAGGTAGACACGGTAGTTGAGTAAAAGATCTAGTGGGATCGTAACTGATATGACGAATAATTGTGTATGCAATTAAGGACTAAATATGTAGAAGTAATACAGTGACAAAACAGGCAGGAAGTTCAGAAATGAAAATATGGTAGTGCAAATAGGGATTAAGAAAAACTTAAAAATAGGATGAATTAAGTAGAAGTTTGGATAAGAAAGGTAATGGGATAGTCACTATTAAAAGAGGTACCTGTTTATGGTGGCCATGTCAGGGACAAGGGTTGGACGTACTCCTTCTGCATACATAGCGTGGGTTTGAATACCTCGGCTATGCACATATGTCTTGATGTTACTCCCTTTGGTAGGTTTGATCGAGTTTTGTATATGATTTTGAAGGATTTTTCGAATGGTGCTCAATGTCCAATATAGTCTTCTTTCATATCGTTGTGTTCCTTGTGGAATATGAGTCTTCAAACCCTGGAGTTTCTGTAGCCGTGCTGTTCTTCTGGATAGGGGTCACCAGTCTCAGACCCAACTTATCCTCTGCTCCGAGCTTACTACTGAGCCGAGGTTTTAGACTGCATCTGCGTCTGTGGTTCAGTGGTAGAATGCTCTCCAAACACGCACGTTGTCCGGGTTTCAATCATCGACCGACGCACTCTTTAGCCTCTCTGGGTTGGTCGTAATCCCGGTAAGGAGGGAAGGTTGGGCGTGAGGCTAGCAACCCTCCCCCTTGAAAATAGAACCACTGATACCGATACTTCCAAGGTCTAACTTGAGGTCGTATGTTCCACTCGGAATGTGAAGGAATTAATCAATGAGATGAAAAGTAATGTAGGGAATATTTCCAATGAAACTATTTTGTTCTTCGTTATTACTATTCCTTTGTCTCACACCTCTGTTTACTGTCTCTAGTATGCATTTCTTCTACTTTCTTTTATTGCTTTGTGTGCTACATGGAGTGTGGCGACTTGAACTGCCGCACATATGTGCAAAGTTCCATGTCGAAAACAGGCAGACAGACAGTGTAGGGAATGAAATCCCAGGGTGGCATATGGGGTTTTTGAGTATTTTACCGTTGAAGCACTGTTTCAATACAGTAAGCGAGTAGATTTCTTAGTGTATTGGGACTCATTGTAAGCTTTTTTTACGCCAGTTAGCATCAGTCGGTTTTCTGAAGATTAACTGTCAAACTTATAATTCATCTATCCTTTTTACAGGACTTCCTCGTCCTCGACGTCGTTTGACTGAATTTTTGTTGAAATTACATAATTCTAAAGATCATGGTGTTAATCATCCTCAGAATACGACGCATTATTGCGACCTACAGTTTCTGCGTTCTCCCATAGAAATTATTTCTAACGGAAATGAGTATTCTGTTAAAAGTCGTTCTTTGGTTTCTCATATTAAATTGGCACAAGTCAAATTAGAGGTATGCAGTAAGTTAGTTTTTTGTCAGTGTTTCCATTTCACTATTTATAATATATTAAGAAAGAAAAATGTACTTAAAGTGTATGATGTGCATGAGCACACATGGGAAAATTGATAAAAACATAATTCATCCAATAAATACATATGTTGATGCTGTCAGGAATCAGACGTGCATGGAAGTTGTAGGCAGAAGGAAGAGACAGGGCAAACAGTGGCTTACTACAGACTCATGGAGACTAATAGAAGAGGGAAGGATGGTGAAACAAAAGATTACCCAATGAATCAATAAGCAACAAAATCAGGAGTTGAATGTAAGCTGCAATACATTGAACATAAGAGTAAAGAATAGTGCCAGGGAAGACAAAAGAAAATATTATGAAGCTGTGTCAAGTCAAGCAGAACTAGCTGCAGACAAAAGAGACCTCACAACACTACCGAACAACTAGGTTCTTATCGAGGAAGAGTTCAACACAAATTAAGCCAGTGAAGAATGACAATGGCAAGCCAATCACCCAAGAGGTGGAGCAAAGGAAACACTGAGCTGAACACTTCAAAAGACTTCTTAATCGACCGCCACCTACAACGCGCCCAATAATACCAACAGTGGAAGCAGAACTACCAGTGGACATGAATCCTCTGACGAGAACAGAAATCCTGAAGGTCATGAAGATGCTGAAAACTGGAAAATCAGCAGGACTAGACGGAATCCCAGCAGAAGCATTAAAAATGGACACCCAGACATCAGCGGACTTGATGACACCACTGCTGGAGAAGGTGTGGAAAGATGGTAAGGTACCTGCGAATTGGAAGAAAGGCTACATATATTCAAACTGCCAAAGAAAGGAGATTTAAGTCAGTGCAAGAACTGGTGTGGTATTATACTACTTTCTGTATCTAGACAAAGCCGTCCAATGTCACATATTGTCTTTGTGGTTGCGGTGTACTGGATAATGTGGAGGACAGTATTTGGCGGGTATATATTGGATACACAAAATGACGGTATAGCATTCATGAGTTATGTTGCACAAACTCGAAGATTTACGAGAGAAAACCACCGAGTTAGTTGGCAAAAGATTCAGTGTAGACAGATGAACCTACTGGAGACAGAGGTGATGATGATACCCAATATGATCCGACCTACAATAGATACCAATCACCATCAATAGAAGAGATGTAGAGAAAGCAGCCTCTTTCACTTAACTAAATCAGTCAGCATCGTTTCAGCCGCAGATAGAACGGCTGAGGATGTCGTAGCTAACCAGGATATCAAGTGAATGCTTCTCTATGTGGTTCAGAAACCTGGCACGTCACAAAAAGCATTTCCAACGGACTGCAGACTTTCACCAACAACCGCCTGAAGATCAGATGGCCAATCATAAAAAAATAAGCAGCAAGGAATTCTGGCAGGTAGCAAACCAATTAGGGACCGATTTCCTCACCGATGAATATGCAGAAAGTGGAGGTGAACTAGACACTTACGCTAAGTATATAATTGTTTGACATCGCATGCCAGCCCCTTGAGTGGAAAGGGATAATGGGAACCGACAAGCTGGACATGGATCCGAGGGTAATATGTATAAGACCATAATTCGGAAATTAAAGCTGTTGGAAGTTTTTGAGCCAGCGAAATACGAACTCAGGAAACAGAATAGTCTATGAGTTTGTTCTTGAGGCCTAATTTTCCAGCCAAACCTCCTAGTCTGTGATTATATACTATCGGTGCTTAGATCTATTAGTCGAAATGATCCTCCTGTACTAATGACGGAGATTTATTACCTTTCATATGAACTGGAGTGGTCAATGCAAGATGATGTTACAGGACTGGACTACATCGACGCCTGGTTTAAAAATAGGAAGTGAAGTGGTAGAGCACGTTGACCGCTTCACTTATTTGGGAAGTACCATCAGCCCCAACGGGCTGATCTCTGACGAAATCTCAGCACGAATACAGGGGGCTCGTTTCGCATTTGCCAGTTTACGCCGACTCTAGCGTAGACGAGATGTTCGACTATCGACCAAAGGGCGGGTGTACTGCTCATCAGTCCGCTCCGTCCTCCTTTATGGTTGTGAGACCTGGCCACTGAGAGTGGAAGACATGAAAAGACTAGCTGTCTTTGATCATAGGTGCCTGCGCTCTATTTCCCGTGTAAAGTGGCATAATAAGGTGAGCAACATGGAGGTTAGGCGTAGAGTTCTAGGTAAACAGGGGAAATCAATCGATGAAGTCGTGAAGCTACAAAGACTGAGATGGTTAGGACATGTGTTACGTATGCCAAGCCATCGCCTCCCTCGACGAGCTATGTTAGCGGATATAGGGTCAGACGAAAAAAGCTAGCGGCGGTCAAACAAAACCTTGGCATCAGTCAATGAAATCCACAACAGTTGGTCTAAGCCACGTAGAAAGGTGTAGACTTCCAGGCTGGGGTCCTCGGGACGGTAAAAATCTATGGTTGGAAACAATTGGTGACATGGCTCAAAACCGTTCTCAGTGGCGCAGATGCATCCACTCCCTGTGACTTATGATCTCCAATAAAACTGTTTTGTATTTCTTTATCACTCCTTTGTCTCACACCTCTGCTCACTGTTTCTATTATGCTTTTCTTTTACTTTCTTCTCTTGCTTCGCGTGCTACACGGAATGTGGCGACTTGAACTTCCGCACATTTGTGCAAAGTTCTATGTCGAAAACAGACAGACAGACTGGAGTGGTCAACGAAGGGATTATCTTCGATTTCCTTAGAATAAGTGAAACCTTACTCAGTGTAATCAATAGTTCATTATGGCCATCCTTAAACACCTCTGATGTCGTAGCGTCAGATTCTATTGCCTTGTCTCGTTTCAGCTTTAAAAACAACTTTCTCCATCTTGGCCGGAGTTTTATCCGGACTTCCATCCATGGCTCTTAAAAAGTTATTTGACTTTCATCTATCTCGATGATGTCTTCACTTGTGACACCTTTTACAGTGTTTGTTTCTACACTAATCCTAAATTCTACGTAGTGTTAACACCGTTTGCGTTTCTTTCGCTCCCATCATCCAGCATTACTCACTACGAAAACACTAAAACTGGAGTTATTGGTTTTTGTTTACGCATTATATTTCTTAACAGTCAGTTAGAATCACACACACACACACACAAGGCTATCCACACGTGAATATTATAAAAGCAAATAAGATTCAGATAGTAAGGTTTTTAGGCGTTCGTAGCATTTGTTTCTGTGACAGAATGGATTTATGTGTGTCAATTAAACTAGTTGATCATTAATAACACTGATGACACCAGTAACTTGTGTGCAATCAAAGTATTCAGTACAGTCAGTCATTCCTACAGGAGGTGAATCGCGAGACCGAATAGCTCAATGGTAACGTCTCTGACTGCAGCACTGGGTGACGCGGGTTCGGATCTCAGAAGAGACATGAGTTCCTTCAAGGATGCAGATACGCCTTTCTGACCGGTGAGTGTCAATTAGCACGAAACCTAGGTCGAGCAAGGCTTCTTGCTGAATGCCTCCAACCATCAAATGTTGTCATCTACTGTTCGACTTATTCAACAGTATCATTGTAACCAATCAGTTTCATGATTTAGACTAAAAACAAGTGAACTGATTTATTGAATATACGTGATATAAATTCTCCAGCCGTCAGTATCTTTTATTCTGAAGGAAAAGTGAACTCCTTGTAGGTTTTTGACCACATTTCTTTGATATATTCACTTCCCGTTAAAATAAAGGTGATTGATGAATAGCCACTGAACTACAGTCTGTTTCTCTGAATGTCTCGAGGATGTAAATTTATTGTTGCGGGCTTTTATCTTTGGTACTTTTGAATATGTGTTTTCATCTACCAAATATACAAAGACACTTAAAGTTGATTAACCCAGTGTAGCACTTGAATTTTGTGTTACCTTGTTTTATAATACATTTGAAGTGAAAGCTATTCACAGTCTCTTGTACGTGCAGATCACGTAAAGTATTATTATTGTTATTATTATTATTAAGATTATGTCATCCTTTTTATTTCCGTCTAGGGTGCTGTTAGTCCTCAACAGAAAGCTGTAGTGGATAGTAGTTTGCCTGTTGAATTATTGCCATGTGGTCTAGTTGTCCGTAGTATTGGTTATCGTGGCGTCCGTATTGATCCAGATTTACCATTCGACGAACAGCACGGAGTTATTCAGTGCAAAGACAACAATGGTCGTGTAGTCGATCTACCTCAGGCTTCATATGATTTTATTGTGAGCCCAATGTATTGTGTTGGGTGGATTAAACGGGGTCCTGTTGGTGTGATTGTAGACACAGCTATAGATGCTCGTCAAACAGCTGAAACAATCATGAGTGATTTGTCTGAATTGGAAAGACATAAACATTCAGACATACTGAACAAGGCTGGATTCAGCATAATTCAACGTCGTCTCAATGAAAAAAGTAGGTTCTCTTAATCTTTAACATTGTACAACACTAACTTTTAGCCAGTGATTAAATGTGAGCAATTTTGTGGTAAAAAGAATGTTTGAAAATTGGAGATTCACCATTTTTCTTACATGACGACAAAGGGCATTGTGGATCAGAAAAGCAGGTGCGTGAAGAGTAAGGCCATTTGTCACCTTTTAAGATCATTATTCTTATTATTATTCCCTTGAGTTCCGAGTAGGATAGCACATCTCCATTTCATTCTGTTCTCCACAGTTTTATTTGGCTGGCTCTACAATTGCTCATAGGTTCTCATCTTCTCCCGTCACCCTCTGACGCCTAAGATGTTTTCCACCATGTTGGTTCTATTCAACGGCCTGTCACTCAGTGGTCTCCTCAGCGTATGTTCAATTCATCCATCTTCACTTAAATTCTGCGTATTTGTTGGGCGATAGATTCTTAGTTTAGTTGTTGGCCAGAGTTACTTGTTGCTTATTCTTTCCGGTCGGCTGGCCGGCCATCTGTAGTAGCCTATTGAGAGTGAGTGCCTCACGTGACACTCCAAGTCTTTGAACAATGTACAAGTACTAACTGATATGACTTTAGTGTTGAAAATCTGTATCAAATTCCGTTTGCTGAATGCAGTAGATTTCTGCACTGATTTCAAAACAGTGATGATCTGTCTTGCTTATATACCAAGTTATTGAAATTAAAGCAGTTAGTGTAGGAAAAGTTAGAGGTAGAAATATAATTCCTTATGTAAGTAAACAAGTTGTAAACAATTTTCGAAAAAGACGAAGCAGCATTACTTTATAAACCCTGTGGAAAACTCACTGTATTTAAGCACTTATCGCTCTTAGTTATAGCCGGTAGAAAGAGAGAAGTTTCACTGCAAATCCAATGCCACTTTAGTTGTTTATCAGTTTCTCTTCTTTCCAACATGCCTGGGGACTTTCCGGTTAGATGAATATAAGTCAGGCTTCACGTCGTATCTATTCACATTTTCATTCCTTGTGTTCCGAGTGGGACGTGGGGCTCGAAACTTTGAAGTTTCAGTAGCGGTGGTGTGGTTTTTACCAGGTGGGTTTAAGAAGAAATCGACTTGCCCCGTTTGGACATATGCGAGGTAATGTAACTTCGTCCGAAATGGCGGACTCAAGATGACTGATTCTAGCAGGCTCTGAACATGATGAGGAGGGGGTAACTGCTTGGATGCAAGCTGACCGTAAACAGTGGTGGACGAAAAGTAGCCTAAGACACGAAAGGCATCATTGGTGGGCAATATCAGATAGCTGTTTAGACTTATTAGGGAAACGGGCTATAAACAACAATCGTAAGCACAAAGATATCCGGATTTAGTTTAGTCGTCTCCCAAGGTTAGACGACTGAAACATTATAGAGTAAGACCTTGATTCAGTTAGCCTACAGCCATTTTAAATTCGTCCAGGATCCCACAGTAACTAAATTTGCAGAATTTGTCTCTAGTCTAAACAAAACAAAGCTTTAGGATCTGACAGTACGAGTCTAGAGGTGTTCGAATATGCTGGTGATGGAGTGTAAACTGGATTAAATGTGTGAAAGTCTGAGGTAGTTCCCTTGTACTGATGCATATCATCGATTGTCGTAGTTGCTAAAAAACGAGACAAGTCTCCCTGGGACAAACATGGGGGTCAGCTTGACTGACATATTATCTAAAGTCCGTGGTTCAGTAGTCCTGTGTAGACTCAAAGGTATTCGGATAACCCAGACAGGCTTGAAGTCTAAATATCTGGTTGTGAGAACGGGTTGCTGACGAAATCTCACCATGGATGTGTAAAGCTCGTGTTTCATTTGTCATGGTCTCTAGCGTGGACATGATACCCTGCTGTCGACCGAAATATAAATAGGAAGTTAAGTGATAGAGCACGTTGACCGCTTCACTTACTTGGCAAGTACCATCACCCAGTGCCAACGGGTTAATATCTGACGAAATTTCAGCACGGATACAGAGGGCTAGTTTCGCATATGCCAGTTTACGCCGTCTCTGGCTTAGTAGACGTGATATCCGGCTGGCTATCGACCGAAGGGTGGGTGTACTGCTCAGGAGTCCGCTCCGTCCTTATTTATGGCGTGCTTGTGAGACCTAGCCATTGGGAGTGAAAGACATAAAAAGACTAGCTGTTTCTGATCATACATGCCTGCATTCTATCTCCCTTGTGAAATGGTATAATAAGGTGAGCAATATTGAGGTTAGGCGTCGAGTGCTAGGTAAGGAGGGGAAATCAATCGACGAGGCTGTGAAATTACATCGACTGAGATGGTTGGGCCGTGTGTTACACATGTCTGCCTAGCCATCGCCTTCCTCTACGGGCAGTGTTAGCTGGCATAGGATTTATCAGGTTGGAAAAGAGCTGGCGGAGGTCAAACGAAAACATGTCACCAGTCGATGAAATCTACAACAGTTAGTCTAAGCCACGTAGGAAGGTGTAGACTGACTTCCTGGTTGGGGTCCTCGAGACAGTAAAAATCAGTGGTTGGAAACAATTGGTGACATGGCTCAAAATCGTTCTCAAAGGCTGGTGCAGATGCATCCACTCCTTGTGACTTATGATTTCCAACGAAACTATACTGTTCCTCATTATTACTATTCCTTTGTCTCACACCTCTGTTTACTGTCTGTATTATGCATTTCTTCTACTTTCTCCTCTTACTTTGTGTGTTACATGGAGTGTGGCGACTTGAACTGCCGCACATATGTGCAAAGTTCTATGTTGAAAACAGACAGACAGCTGTCGACCGAAAGAATGCGCTGCGTAGCAGTTCGCACTTTTCTTCTCTATGGCTGTTTAAAGTATTAGACATCTCCCTTAAGCAATATTATGTAGTGAATAATGTTGAGGTTAGGCTTGGTGTTAGGTAGTAAAGGTATATCAGTCAATGAGATTGTGTAGCTGTATCTACTGGGATGGCTGCGACACGTGCTGTGAATGCCAAGCTATTGCCTTCCTCATCGAAACTACTTAGTAGTCAATTCAGTACTTGGTAACTAACTATGAGGTCTTTGACAGTTGGTTAGAGCCTTATTAGTAGGTGTAGACTGTCTGGCTTGTCTCTTAGAGAAATTAAGAACCAGTGACTGAAGATTGTTGGTAACATGGGTCCCAACTCAATGGCCCGGATCCATTCATCATAGATCCTTTGCATTTGTTCCCTCTACAGTTGTGCGCTATATGATGTGTGGCAACTTGAACTGCTACGCTTGTGTTCAAAGTCCCTACTTAGTCGATAATATGCTACGTATAATGTTCACTGTGGTTCAAAAGTTTGTTTTTTTCCTACCATCCCCACACTGAAGACGATGTAAGACTGATAATCAGTCTGCCGAACACTCATTGAGGAAATCAGTTGTCACCAGGTTTAAAGTCACACTAGATCCGACGGTTTGTCATGGTAAAAAATATCAGTTATTTTTTTCTACCACATAATTCAATTATTTTGCTTCATTTAATAGATGTACGCCCTGTAACCTTTGAAGACTGGGAACGTGTCGATGAAGTGGAAAAATCTGCTGGTCACATCCTTGGTAAACCCAGAGAAAAGTTAACTACAATTCAATCGATGTTGAAAGCCGCTTTTGCTGAAGTCTCACATAGTAAATCCAGACGCTAGTTTGTCAGCTAAGACATTCACTTGTCTTGTCCTACAGAAAGAGTCATGACGATGAAAAAACAGAAGTTCCCTTATTTTATATACTTTCAATCATTTGCACACACACACACGAACTTTCTTCTTGTTTTCTCAAACTCAGGTATAGAAATTCCTATTCTGTATACACATTAGTCAAGAAGACACTGCTCTATTCATTTGCTTTCTCTTTACTTCGAACAGATTTTTGATACTTGGAATTTAGTTGATACAAAGTTTAAATAAACTGATCACTGTAAACCACTTGTCAATAATTTTAAAATATGTTTATAGATGAAATTCCAATATGTTCTGATTGCAAATCTCCGAAACTAGTGTTTTATGAACAATTTATTATCAAATATCTACATACCCAAAATACCCCACGAGTCTCAGCAACCATAATGCCCTGTATCAAAACACCTGAAGTCATTGAGGAGTTTCCATCAGTAAGAAAACAGATTCTAACGACGCTATGCTGAGTGAGATGATGTTTGTAAAGAATGAGACGTTAACAACCTATCGGTAGAGACAGCTCGAACACTGTGAAGAATACATAAAGAATAATAATGATAATTGCTTTAATCCAGAAACAGCACTATTGGTACAGTGTGGAATTTTCAGCACTTATCTACAATATTGCATCTAATTTTACTGCACATTTAAAAGGAGCATTTCAAAAAAGAAAAAACAACAACAAAATAGCAACAAAAAATGCGAAAAAACACCAAGAAGTAGAATGGAAAATAAACAGCATGATAAATAATATCTCAGTATTGTGTAGTGGAAGCTAAGATATGTTCATGCGTGGTGAACAGTAAAACTATATCATACAAGAAGTTATGAAATGATATTAAGAATGTTTATTGCTAATCAGTTAATTTGACTGAACAACACTAAACAATCATAAAATAAACATTTCAGGGTTTTTTTTATTGTCAGGTCTAATGCGGTGTTTGTAGTGGTAGTGTGAGTAATCCTGCATAATACAAAATTTTAAGATGGTGATAATGGCGTTCACAACCAAGAATGTCAGTTAATATTGCCGGACAGAAAAACAACCACAAAACTAATTTTACATGAAGGTTAATGACAGGACAATTTTGTATTACTCATAGTGCTAATGTAGTCGGAACCAGTAGATACACAAAAGAAGGAATAGAGTAAAGTACAAAAGAAGGTAAGCCAATGTTAATAATTTAGATAGCTGAGTATGTTTAAGAAGGTGTTCGCCATAGAATACAAATAAAAGAGCCTAAAATTATGTTAATTTAACAACAAAGCAAGTCATAGGTTTCGTGCTTAACATTGTCTCTGTCACTTAGAAAACGGGCCAAATATGGTATTGTTGAGTTCCTGTACTTGGTTGTACTGGCATATATTATTTTGTACTGATTTCTGGTTCTACCTGATGAGATACAAGGAGAGAGTTGGGAATAGAGGAGGTGCTGGGGGTAGGAGAGTATGGTTTGAGACCATTTTTCGCATGTATTCAGATGCCTTTCTACTAATGTAGTGACGAGCTTACTGAGTTTTACATCACTAGTCCTACTTACTACCTTCAACATCCTTCTCAGGATGATATAGTCCTTTTTGAGTAACCCAGGAAAGACTAACGGGGAGCAGTAAAGTAGAATAGGTAAGATACGAGAGTTGACAAATTGTGAGAGTAGAGATTGAGTGATTCCAGATAGTCTAAGTTTCTTAATGTAGTAGGCTAGACGGAACACATTCTTAGAAATCCTTATGATATGAGATGACCATATAAGGTCGGAAGATAGAACTAGTCCGAGGTATTTTGCATTAGACTCAGCTTCAATTTTAGTCCCCTCAATGCTACATGAGTATTTACTAGTGTTTGTAAATCTACTTTATGCCTAAAGGAGTAGTCAATTGTTTGGCATTTTGAGGGATTCAGCATGAAACCATTTAGTTTAGACCACTGACTGATGTCCGACAGGAAGCTATTGAATTTGAAACAGTCTGACTGAGACTTAACGGGAAGCGAAACAGTCAGGTCATATGCGTATTTGACGAAGTTGATTTCGTCTGAAAGAGGTCAGTAAGGAAAGGAGAGGAAGATACACCATTATATACCGTGTACTGCATCCTATTAGAGAAGTAAGAGTGACACCAATTGATAGCCCAGGACTCAGTTTGTGTAAGGCGGAGCTTGTTTAAAAAAGGCCTCTAGGTACAGAGTAGAAAGCAGATGTATATTCAAGGAACGGACATACTTGGCCTCTTTGTCTAAGGAGGATACAATGTTGTGATGAAACACAGCAGCAGCGTCTAAAGTACTTCTACCCTGTTTGTAAGCAAACTGCTTTGGATCATTTGAGAAGCTTAGGGGGGGGGGGGGGGGAGAGCAAGTTTTAGTAACAATAATTTCTCCATAAGTTTCAAAAAAAGAGAAGTGATAGCAATCGGTCTAAACTTTACACTATTTCCAGAACCAGACTTGGGTACAGGGATGATTTCAATATCTTTCCACAGAGAAGGTACAACATTATTAGAAAAAGAAGTACTAAAAGTGTTTGTAAGTGGGTTACTTAACATATCAGCACATTTCCTTGGGAAGACGGCAGCTATACCATCAGGGCCTAGACTCTGGGAAGGTTTAAGAGATTTTAAACATTTAAGAACATCAGAACTATTGCAACTCTGAAAGTCACTGGTCTTGTTATTAGTTACATTGAAGCTAAAAGGGACATTAGCAGGGCGGATAAAAGATCTATTAAGAGTATTTACATCAATAGAAGGGGCATAAACATTTTGCTTACTGCAACATGTAATTTCCCTGAAAAGTCTCCACATGTTTCCTGGAGTTTTACAAGACAATACCCTTTGATGATAAATATCGTTTAGCTTCTTGATTTCGGATTTAATTTGGATGGTTATCCTCCTAAGACCAGATTTATCCTTAGTCTTTTACAGTCTCTCTTTTTTTCTTAGAAGCTTTTTGAGATGAGGGGAAGAGAAAAGGTCCATTCTTTTGAAAAGTAACTGTTTTGGACAGAGAATATCAAGGCATAATATAAGAAATTCAGTCAGATTGGAAATAGTATCATCCAGTGTGTATTCGGTGAGGAGTTCCTAGTTCGTGTCATTTAACATACGGTTTAATTTAAGCACATTTTCCTGTGAGTAACATCTTTGCTGTGTTTACCTGTACACATTGAGAGGATATTAGAGTGAGAACTGCTATATATCTTAGGAAATAATACAATGATCAGAGTTCATTCTCGCAGCACGTCTGCTTCCTTTAATACAATTCCGAATCATTTATAAATACTAGATCAACTGATTTATCAAGTCAAGTAAAATATTTAACAATATTGAAATTACCTAATGATTCAACAAAAAAACGCTCTCAAGACATTTAGACATCTGAAACGCTGAAATCAGTGATACCACCAGATAAATCAGAGAGATACGATGCCGAACACACAACACTCACATAACTATTAGAAAGGAAGACGCAAAAACCTTGCAAAAGATAACCAAAACATCAACTGGTCTACCATTTCTCACCATCCAAACATCCTGCAACTGTAGCCGAGCTTTGAAAAGCTGTCTGTTATTTGGAAGGAGACAAAGCAACAGGATCTCATGGCATCTCTCCAGAGAATTTTAACGATAAAGTTGATGAATTATCGGCTAGACTAAGTATGCTGTTGTCTGTTGAATGGGAATCAGAGTTGTGGTGTACTTCGTTGATTATGCTGGTTTATTATTCGCTTGGATTCCGGGTGGGACATAGGGCTCCAGCAGGACATGTGCATTTCACCCAGTCCTATCTTCTGAGTCTTTATGGCAAGCTGGTTGAGCAAAGGTAGCTATGGTGAGTGAAATAATCTTCAAGAAGAATGCAAGTTAAATCATTTCTCCATGGGGTAAGCTCGCTGGCCAAATACACACACACACAGAGCCATCCTTGCCTTCTTTTCCAGACTAAGGACCGGACAGGCTAGTAAACTAGGCGAGATCATCCTCGCTTATGAGGCTTATAAGAGAGAGGCAGTAAGTATCTCTGCGATGCTCATAGCGGGACCAGTTTAATCATGATAGTATCTAAGATTCTAGGCTTCATAATCTGTTGAATACTAAGTAGAGTTTGGAGGAATCATACACTAAGAAACCAAGCAGGATGCACTGTTCAAATCTACACACAGACACACATCGACGCGCTTCCGAAACCCAGGCCCATTTACCAATGTAAATAATCACGGGACACATTTCTTCGCTTAATTTGAGGAATTGAATCCTTCGAGTGAGAGGTGGTGTGACAATGTCTGGCTTTGAAACAAATGTCAAGATGTCACGATGTCTTGACCGAGACAATCTATTCGAAGTAGTTCAGCTGTGCAAGTGGTTTGTACGGAGTTTCCATTTGATGTAGCGACTTCCAGAGATCGATCTTCAGTCTCACTACATTCATTCCATAATGTGTGTAGAAGTGGTCAACATCGGAGTGACAAGGGTGGACTTTCAATCAGGCGAAACTATCGTTGATTCAGTTTGGGCATATAGTTCAGTTTGGCCATAGTCAGCTTACTAGCTGGTCCTAAATCCGAAAAAGAGGGGAGGTCGGGTATAGGGCTGGCTAGAAACCTCACACCGACGTGAGAGAAAAAAGCCTAAGACCACTGAAACCTTCGAAGAACAGGAAATTCACACTTGTCCTCTGTTGGAATCGACGAGACTTCTCAGTTCGAGGAGGGATGATGCGACAGATGACAGGCTTCGGGAAGGCAGTCGATCGACGTGTCTTCCTTCAGTGACAGCAAAAGTAAACATGGCTACATGGAATCTCCGAGAAATGCTTGGTTGAGGCTGGTTGGCTGCCGCCTTGCTAGCTGGCAAGGCTGCTCAGATTGCAGAATAAGTGAGAAGATAGTGTATAGAAAGAAGTGCTAGGGATCTGAGTAAGCAGATGGAGTCGAAGTAGACTCTCCAAATTGTTATGTGAGGAGTGAATAATCTACTCCGGTCAGCCAAACGACAACCACGAGCACAATGAGAGAAAGAGAGAGAGAGTGGAAATCATCATGTCACCGACAGCACCGGAGAGCTCTCATGAAATGGGAGTCAATTTCCTACAGGAGAGTGAGTGATTTAACTCAAAAGGTGGGAACGTTTCAACTCGAAACACCTACAAATCAAGAGAAGAAGGAGGACGACAACTACAAGCAGTAATGGACAAAATCCCAACCAGATGGAGACAGCAAAATTCTAATGGGTGATATGAACGCCAACCGTACTGGGAGCAGACAACAAGACAGGAAGAGAACTT